CCAGTCATCCGGACCTTAATCCCTAGTCTTGTTGATCTTAATCCCTAATCTCCAATAGCCCTATTTTCCTGTACCTCAGTATCCTAGTCTCCAAGTAACTTAATCCCTAATTCCCCTTAGCTTAATCCTCAGTTTCCTGTACATAAATTTCCATTTTCCAATAACCAAGTACCCCAGTACCACCGTCTCCTGTACCCTACACCCCAGTACTACCGTCTCCTGTACCCTACACCCCAGTACTACCGACTCCTGTACCCTACACCCCAGTACTACCGTCTCCTGTACCCTACAGCCAAGTACTACCGTCTTCTGTACCCTACACCCCAGTACCACCGTTTCATGTACCCTACACCCCAGTATTACCGTCTCCTGTACCCTACACCCCAGTACTACCGTCTCCTGTACCCTACACCCCAGTACTACCGTCTCCTGTACCCTACACCCCAGTTCTAGCGTCTTCTGTACCCTACACCCCAGTACCACCGTCTCATGTACCCTACACCCCAGTATCACCGTCTCCTGTACCCTACACCAGGGTACTACCGTCTCCTGTACCCTACACCCCAGTACTACCGTCTTCTGTACCCTACACCAGGGTACTACCGTCTCATGTACCTTACACCCCAGTATTACCGTCTCCTGTACCCTACACCAGGGTACTACCGTCTCCTGTACCCTTCACCCCAGTACTTCCGTCTCCTGTACCCTACACCCCAGTACTACCGTCTCCTGTACCCTACACCCCAGTTCTACCGTCTTCTGTACCCTACACCCCAGTACTACCGTCTTCTGTCACCTACAGCCCAGTACTACCGTCTTCTGTCACCTACACCCAAGTACTACCGTCTTCTGTCACCTACAGCCCAGTACTACCGTCTTCTGTCACCTACACCCAAGTACTACTGTCTTCTGTCACCTACACCCCAGTTCTACCGTCTTCTGTACCCTACACCCCAGTACCACCGTCTCATGTACCCTACACCCCAGTATCACCGTCTCCTGTACCCTACACCAGGGTACTACCGTCTCCTGTACCCTACACCCCAGTACTACCGTCTTCTGTACCCTACACCCCAGTACTACCGTCTCATGTACCCTACACCCCAGTATTACCGTCTCCTGTACCCTACACCAGGGTACTACCGTCTCCTGTACCCTTCACCCCAGTACTTCCGTCTCCTGTACCCTACACCCCAGTACTACCGTCTCCTGTACCCTACACCCCAGTTCTACCGTCTTCTGTACCCTACACCCCAGTACTACCGTCTTCTGTCACCTACACCCCAGTTCTACCGACTCCTGTACCCTACACCCCCGTACTACCGTCTCCTGTACCCTACACCCCAGTACTACTGTCTTCTGTCACCTACACCCCAGTACTACCGTCTTCTGTCACCTACAGCCCAGTACTACCGTCTTCTGTCACCTACACCCAAGTACTACTGTCTTCTGTCACCTACACCCCAGTACTACCGTCTCCTGTACCTTACACACCAGTACTACCCCCTGGGTACTACACCACGGTATTACCGTCTCCTGTACCCTACACACTAGTACTACCCCCTCCTGTACCCAACACCAGGGTACTACCGACTCCTGTACCCTACACCCCAGTACTACCGTCTCCTGTACCCTACACCCTAGTTCTACCGTCCCCTGTACCCTACACCCCAGTACTACTGTCTTCTGTCACCTACACCCCAGTACTACCGTCTTCTGTCACCTACACCCAAGTACTACTGTCTTCTGTCACCTATACCCCAGTACTACCGTCTCCTGTACCTTACACACCAGTACTACCCCCTGGGTACTACACCACGGTATTACCGTCTCCTGTACCCTACACCCTAGTTCTACCGTCCCCTGTACCCTACACCCCAGTACTACCGTTTCTAGTATTTTTACCTCCAGTCTCAAGTCTCCATTAACCCAGCCATCCAATATGTTGTCTGCTGCAGATACCGCAACAACAGATATTGTTCTGGTGGAGCTCACGGGTACGACAACATCGACAGAACCATGCATGTAAGTAACCTCTGGTTAGTCTCTAGTTACAGCTGCACTGCAGTGCCCTCTATATAGTCTCTAGTCACAGCTGCAATGCAGTGCCCTCTATAAAGTCTCTTGTCACAGCTGCACTGCAGAGACCTCAATTTTAGTCTCTTGTCACAGCTGCACTGCAGTGTCCACTAGTCAGTCTCTAGTCACAGCTGCACTGCAGTGCCCACTAGTCAGTCTCTAGTCACAGCTGAAATGCAGTGCCAAATAGTCAGTCTCTAGTCACAGCTGAAATGCAGTGCCCTCTATAAAGTCTCTAGTCACAGCTGCACTGCAGTGTCCACAAGTCAGTCTCTTGTCACAGCTGCACTGCAGTGACCTCAATTCAGTCTCTAGTCACAGCTGCACTGCAGTGCCCGCTATTTAGTCTCTAGTCACAGCTGCACTGCAGTGCCCTCTATAAAGTCTCTAGTCACAGCTGCACTGCAGTGTCCACTAGTCAGTCTCTGTTCACAGCTGCACTGCATTGACCTCTAGTTAATCTCTAGTCACAGCTGCACTGCAGTGTCCACTAGTCAGTCTGTTTACAGCTGCACTGCAGTGTCCACTAGTCAGTCTCTAGTCACAGCTGCACTGCAGTGCCAAATAGTCAGTCTCTAGTCACAGCTGAAATGCAGTGCCCTCTATAAAGTATCTAGTCACGGCTGCACTGCAGTGTCCACTAGTCAGTCTCTGTTCACAGCTGCACTGCAGTGACCTCTAGTTAATCTCTAGTCACAGCTGCACTGCAGTGTCCACTAGTCAGTCTCTGTTCACAGCTGCACTGCATTGACCTCTAGTTAATCTCTAGTCACAGCTGCACTGCAGTGTCCACTAGTCAGTCTCTGTTCACAGCTGCACTGCAGTGCCAAATAGTCAGTCTCTAGTCACAGCTGAAATGCAGTGCCCTCTATAAAGTCTCTAGTCACAGCTGCACCGCAGTGTCCACAAGTCAGTCTCTAGTCACAGCTGCACTGCAGTGACCTCAATTTTAGTCTCTTGTCACAGCGCACTGCAGTGTCCACTAGTCAGTCTCTAGTCACAGCTGCACTGCAGTGCCAAATAGTCAGTCTCTAGTCACAGCTGAAATGCAGTGCCCTCTATAAAGTCTTTAGTCACAGCTGCACTGCAGTGTCCACTAGTCAGTCTCTGTTCACAGCTGCACTGCAGTGCCCTCTAGTTAATCTCTGTTCACAGCTGCACTGCAGTGTCCACTAGTCAGTCTCTGTTCACAGCTGCACTGCAGTGTCCACCAGTCAGTCTCTAGTCACAGCTGCACTGCAGTGTCCACTAGTCAGTCTCTAGTCACAGCTGCACTGCAGTGCCCTCTATAAAGTCTCTAGTCACAGCTGCACTGCAGTGTCCACTAGTCAGTCTCTGTTCACAGCTGCACTGCAGTGACCTCTAGTTAATCTCTAGTCACAGCTGTACTGCAGTGTCCACTAGTCAGTCTCTAGTCACAGCTGCGCTGCAGTGTCCACTAGTCAGTCTCTAGTCACAGCTGCACTGCAGTGTCCACTAGTCCGTCTCTGTTCACAGCTGCACTGCAGTGACCTCTAGTTAATCTCTAGTCACAGCTGCACTGCAGTGTCCACTAGTCAGTCTCTAGTCACAGCTGCACTGCAGTGTCCACTAGTCAGTCTCTAGTCACAGCTGCACTGCAGTGTCCACTAGTCAGTCTCTAGTCACAGCTGCACTGCAGTGACCTCTAGTTAATCTCTAGTCACAGCTGCACTGCAGTGTCCACTAGTCAGTCTCTAGTCACAGCTGCACTGCAGTGACCTCTAGTGAATCTCTAGTCATAGCTGGCACTATTCTGGTTCATACTCATCTGAAATCTCGGGTGTGGCCATGGAAGAACAAAATTGACAGTAAAATAGTTGTTCTTTTTTTCAATTCTGTTTGCAGGCACTATTCTTGGCATATGGCCCAGCCTTCAAGATCAACAAAACCATCCCTGGCTTTGACAATATTGAAGTATACAATATGATGGCAGGTAATGACAATATTGAAGTATACACAATGATGGCAGGTAATGACAATATTGAAGTATACAATATGATGGCAGTTTATGACAATATTGAAGTATACAATATGATGGCAGATAATGACAATATTGAAGTATACAATATGATGGAAGGTGATGACAATATTGAAGTATACAATATGATGGCAGGTAATGACAATATTGAAGTATACAATATGATGGCAGGTAATGACAATATTGAAGTATACAATATGATGGAAGGTAATGACAATATTGAAGTATACAATATGATGGCAGGTAATGACAATATTGAAGTATACAATGTGATGGCAGGTAATGACAATATTGAAGTATACAATATAATGGCAGGTAATGACAATATTGAAGTATAGAATATGATGGCAGTTTATGACAATATTGAAGTATAGAATATGATGGCAGGTAATGACAATATTGAAGTATGCAATATGATGGAAGGTGATGACAATATTGAAGTATGCAATATGATGGCAGGTAATGACAATATTGAGTATAGAATATGATGGCAGATAACGACAATATTGAAGTATGCAATATGATGGCAGTTTATGGCAATATTGAAGTATACTCAATGATGGCAGATAACGCCAATATTGAAGTATGCAATGTGATGGCAGTTTATGGCAATATTGAAGTATACAATATGATGGCAGGTTATAACAATATTGAAGTATACACTATGATGGCAGGTAATGACAATATTGAAGTATACATGGACCCATCAGTAGAGCGGTTTGTTATTAGCACCGTCAATGTGGAGAGGTATGAACATGTTCAGACATTCAACTCATAAGCTTGCATTGCAGATGTGCTGGGGATAACTGCATCCCCCAACAACGGGACACATGGGTCGCTGAATCCCATCCTCCTGTCACCTCCAAACATCACATGCACCGCAGGAACTCCCTATCTGAATGTGTCTGAAGTGGATGAAGCAGACCTCCTCAACATCAGCTCCGTCTGTAGCTGTCCTCTGTCAGCCCAGGAGGTGAGAGTGGTGAAGTGTGAGAGTGGTGAAGTGGGGAAGTGTGGTGTAGTGGAGTGGAGTGAGTGGGTGTGGGATAGTGTGTGGGGTGTGGGGATATTGTGGGGGGTGGGGGGAGGAGTGGGAGACACAGTGTGAGAGTGGTGAAGCGGGGAAGTGTGGCGTAGTGGAGTGGAGTGAGTGGGTGTGGAATAGTGTGTGGGGTGTGGGGGGAGGGGGGAGGAGTGGGGGGGGGATATAATGGGGGTGGGGGGTGGGGGGGAGGAGTGGGAGACACAGTGTGAGAGTAGTGAAGCGGGGGAGTGTGGTGTAATGGAGTGGAGTTAGTGGGTGTGGAATAGTTGGGGGGGCGTGGGTGGGGGGGAGGAGTGGGGGGGGGATGTTGTGGGGGGGGGGGGGGGGAGGAGTGGGAGACACAGTGTGAGAGTGGTGAAGCGGGGAAGTGTGGCGTAGTGGAGTGGAGTGAGTGGGTGTGGAATAGTGTGTGTGTGGGGGGGGGGGGGGGGGAGGAGTGGGGGGGGATATTGTGGGGGGGGAGGAGGAGTGGGAGACACAGTGTGAGAGTAGTGAAGCGGGGAAGTTTGTTGTAGTGGAGTGGAGTGAGTGGGTGTGGAATAGTGTGTGGGGGGGGGGGGGAGGAGTGGGGGGGGGATATTGTGGGGGGGGGAGGAGTTGGAGACACAGTGTGAGAGTGGTGAAGCGGGGAAGTTTGTTGTAGTGGAGTGGAGTGAGTGGGTGTGGGATAGTGTGTTGGGCGTGGGGGGGGGGAGGGGGGAGGAGTGGGGGGGATATTGTGGGGGTCGGGGGAGGAGTGGGAGACACAGTGTGAGAGTAGTGAAGCGGGGAAGTGTGGTGTAGTGGAGTGGAGTGAGTGGGTGTGGAATAGTATGGGGGAGGGGTAGTAGTGGGGGGGATAGTGTGGGGGGTGGGGGGAGGAGTGGGAGACAGTGTGAGAGTAGTGAAGCGGGGAAGTGTGGCGTAGTGGAGTGGAGTGAGTGGGTGTGGAATAGTATGGGGGAGGGGTAGTAGTGGGGGGGATAGTGTGGGGGGTGGGGGGAGGAGTGGGAGACAGTGTGAGAGTAGTGAAGCGGGGAAGTGTGTGGAGTGGAGTGAGTGGGTGTGGAATAGTGTGGGGAGGAGCGGGGGGAATATGGGGGGGGGGGGGGGGTGGAGGCAGGAGTGGGGGGGATACTGTGGGGGGTGGGGGGGAGGAGTGGGAGACACAGAGTGAGAGTAGTGAAGCGGGGAAGTGTGGCGTAGTGGAGTGGAGTGGAGTGGGTGTGGGATAGTATGTGTGGTGGTGGGTAGGGGGGAGACAGTGTGAGTGGTGGAGTGGAGAAGTGTGGTGTAGTGGAGTGGAGTGAGTGGGTGTGGGATAGTGTGTGGGGTGTGGGGATATTGTGGGGGGTGGGGGGAGGAGTGGGAGACACAGTGTGAGAGTGGTGAAGCGGGGAAGTGTGGCGTAGTGGAGTGGAGTGAGTGGGTGTGGAATAGTGTGTGGGGTGTGGGGGGAGGGGGGAGGAGTGGGGGGGGGATATTATGGGGGGTGGGGGGTGGGGGGGGGAGGAGTGGGAGACACAGTGTGAGAGTAGTGAAGCGGGGGAGTGTGGTGTAATGGAGTGGAGTTAGTGGGTGTGGAATAGTGTGTGGGGCGTGGGGGGGGGGGAGGAGTGGGGGGGATATTGGGGGGGGGGGAGGAGTTGGAGACACAGTGTGAGAGTGGTGAAGCGGGGAAGTTTGTTGTAGTGGAGTGGAGTGAGTGGGTGTGGGATAGTGTGTTGGGCGTGGGGGGGAGGGGGGAGGAGTGGGGGGGGATATTGTGGGGGTCGGGGGAGGAGTGGGAGACACAGTGTGAGAGTAGTGAAGCGGGGAAGTGTGGTGTAGTGGAGTGGAGTGAGTGGGTGTGGAATAGTATGGGGGAGGGGTAGTAGTGGGGGGGGGATAGTGTGGGGGGTGGGGGGAGGAGTGGGAGACAGTGTGAGAGTAGTGAAGCGGGGAAGTGTGTGGAGTGGAGTGAGTGGGTGTGGAATAGTGTGGGGAGGAGCGGGGGGAATATTGTGGGGGGGGGGGGGGGGTGGAGGCAGGAGTGGGGGGGATACTGTGGGGGGTGGGGGGGGGAGGAGTGGGAGACACAGAGTGAGAGTAGTGAAGCGGGGAAGTGTGGCGTAGTGGAGTGGAGTGGGTGTGGGATAGTATGTGTGGTGGTGGGTAGGGGGGAGACAGTGTGAGTGGTGGAGTGGAGAAGTGTAGTGTAGTGGAGTGACTGGGTGTGGGTGGGTGTGGGATAGTGTGTGTGGTGGTGGGTAGGGGGGAGACAGTGTGAGTGGTGGAGTGGAGAAGTGTGGTGTAGTGGAGTGAGTGGGTGTGGGTGGGTGTGGGATAGTGTGTGTGGTAGGGATGGGGGGGGGGAGTGGGGAAGTGTGGTGTAGTGGAGTGAAGTGTGTGTGTGTGTGGGGGGGGGGGGGGGTAGTGGGTGTGGTGGGGGTCGAGTAGGGAAGTGTGGTGTAATGGGGTGGAGTGAGTGAGTGGGTGTGGGATAGTGTGTGTGTATGATGGGGTGAGTGAGGAGGTGGGGTGGACAGCGTGAGTGGTGGTGGGGTGGAGTGTGAGGGAGTGTAACTGAACGTCAGGCCCACCTGATCCGAAAAATGGTATTGTTTGAGGTGAGGTGAGATATGAATAGAAAATCTTGATGTGATATTAAGCACAGCCTTCACAATGACTTTGATGCTGATTACATACATTATTGTTTGTTTCAAGAATAATCATTTGAATCGTTCCCGTCCAATTTTTAACTAATTATTTCAGATTTATCGGTCCTTATCTATTTTTTAGTAACATGATCTACACAGAAGTAACGAAGCTATTAACTATTAACTACTTCTGATACTCCAGGCGTACATGTTAAGCAGTCAGCTGATGACACCTGTCGCGATACACCTCCCCTTCGGGCGTCCCTCCCTGCAGCATCCCATGATGGCAGTCCACCTCCTGGAAGTCCAGCTTCGTGGCCGGATACTCCTCCCAGCTCCGACTACCGCTGTGGGTCTCCTACACAATCACACAGAGCATGGTAGGTTGTGGATCACCTACACCAACGAACACAGTGTATTCTGAAACTGTATTATACAACTGTATTCTACAACTGGGTATATTCCACAGCGGTATATATTCCACAACTGTGTATGTTCCGTAACTGTGTACTACAATTTAAGTTGTAGCAGGATCACGAGGGGTACATGGTTTTTTTTGCGTCCCACGTTAGGTATTATACCACTCGCCTTCGGCTCCTAGTATAAAACCTAACATAAAACCCCATGTAACCCTCGTAAAGGAACTTATCTTACGACATGTTTTAATATGACATTGTAAACGAATTCAAACAAATTCAAAATTGAAAGAAAACAGGAGTTCGGCTGAGCTGAGGTGAATTTTTGCTATGTCACGTGACTTCCATTCGCAAAAGACGTGCTGCTTTTTGCTTTGAAGCCGGGTATAAGGGATTTATACTGGCTCTCGGAAATCTATGTGCAGCCTGTATTGCTCTTGGCGGGGTATATGAGATTGATTCCCCCGCTGAGAAATTGATTATACAGTATTTAATCAAGATCACATGGACCAATAAGATCTCATCATTGTGACATCGAGGTATGACAGCTGGCTATATTCCTCAACAGTATACTACACCAGTGTATAGTGCACAACTGTGTACTACAACTGTGTATATTCCACAACTGGGTATATTCCAGCTCCCTCAGGCTGGGATGGGGTCCCCATACACCAACTGCAGTCTTCCCGACCCCCGCCTTGCCACGCCCACCACCTGGTCATGCGACACAGAGGCACCTGGAAATACATCCTATGTGTCTCTGATACCTCCAGGTTGGTAACCATGGTGACTGCGTTAATTAATTTTGCATAACATCTTTTTCATAAGCCTGATATTTACAGGCTTTTGAAATCCGGAAAATGTTCGTGTGCGTCTTCGACTTATCGTGGTAAATAATATATAAAAGCAAACAAAGAACGCTTTTTGCAATAGAACATATATTTTTAACCATGAAACATGACTTCATCACGACAGTATCAACACCAGTCCTTCGTAAACGTCATCTCAGGCTGAAAGTGGCGTGGGGTCAATTGTCAGTTCACAAGTCCGTGTTGGGTATGACCACCACCACAAGCTGTGACACACACTTGACAAGGAAGCCTCATTAACGACAAAAGATTGTTGCGGAAGGCTTTGTTACAACCCCTCGTGTTCACCTAACCCGCAGTGTAACTATGAACACTAACGGTTGCAACGGCAACCCCTAGAGTTGCACCCACGACTAGTGTTAACTAGTGTGCACTAAGGGTTGATGCCGTGCATACATCGTGCAGTTGCAACCCTTACTGTTCACATGTTTCAGATAAGACGTGGAGCCAGTTGTCGTGACACACGTACCTTATAAAGCAGATTACAATTCAATAATTCGCTCTCTGTGTTGAGAACATTTACAAAAATGCCTTGTTATTAGTATGTCGTGTATCACTGCTCAGAATACCCGAAATATGACACTTTGTGCTTTTGTTTTGAAATATAAGAAACATTTTTAAAATGTGTAATTATTTTTTTAATGCGTGTGAACATTCTTAAAACATACCCATCTATATGTTCGTAATTATAGCTGCATTATAGCTGCATTATAGCTGCATCCCAAAAGTTTGTTCACCTACTTTTGATATTACTATATTATTTCAAATAATAACAGTCCTATTCAAAAAGCCATAATTAAGGAGACGGGTCTGCTTCTGGCTTTTATCAGGAGTTTTTGTAACACATGTGCTAAAAGTCTTGTTACCAACTTTCCGAAAAATCTTTCGTTCAAATTTCGCCAAACCAGCTTTTGACGGAAATCGGTCCAACAGTCACAATCAAGCAAAGGTTAAAACATTTAGAAAATCGTTTCACCAACTTTTCGAGTAAACCGTCATTTTATGTTTCACGAAACTTGGCAAACGTCATCTCCTCCCTAAGGATGAGAGCCCAGGGACTTTAAACAGAAGGTCAAGGTCACGAAGAGGTCGAAACTCGCGGAAATTTATTGAAATTTCATCTCAGAATGTTAATGCATGCCTAATTGGTTTCTGCAGACATGTTTATGTATTTTACATGAGAAGAAGGCCACAGAAAGGTCACTCTAAGGTCATCCCAGTGTTTCAAATCTTACCAACCTGTAAATAAAACTACTGGGTATGTTTTCATGAAACTTGGTACATGTTATCTCTATACTAAAGTTGCGGGCCTACTGACTTTTGACGAAAATTGGTCTGAAGGTCAAGGTCATACAGTGGTTGAAACTTTTGGGAAACAATCTTTTTGTTAGAATTTTCTCTCTTTTCGCTTGTCAATAATTAAGCAACATGCAAACTGGCCGAGTCGCGGAAAGGTGGGCTGCTTCAGTGTTTTTCAAACAAACACCGTTTCTAGTTGAAGCTAATTTCAAAATGTTTTCGATGAAATATGCAAAAATCATTTACGTTTACCATACAAAAATGAGGGCATCATCTTTATGGTAGTACTATTTTGGCAAAGCCTGAAAGAGGCTGTGATAAAATCTTTTTTTTAAAATCGAATCCTTGAATCCTTTGACAACTATTTCTTATTTGGGTAAAATATTTCACTTATCCTGCTTTCTGCCAAGAACTGAGCATAATACAGAAATGAAAAACATTGGGATCATTATGCAACAAAAATCTAAAATGACCATTTTCTGTTTTTGAACCATTCCTTACTTCAAATTTGTTCTGCGATATGTTGGTTAATGTGGTTCCTGGCCTCATTTCTGGAGATTACTTTACTATCAAACCGAGAAAACGGATAAGGAAAGGGTTTATCGGGAGCAAGGTTAGGATCAATTGATGAAACATCAAATAACATGAATTTAAATGGGTTTTCAGAAGTAGATGAACAGACTTTTGGGAGGCAGCTGTATCAGAGTATATTGGCCCTAGTTACGGTTAGTGTTCATTTTGTAATCCACCGTTAGTGTGAGAGTCACCACAGGAACACGAGGGGCTGCAGTATGAACCCTTAGTGTTAACTTTTGAAAGAATGTGTAATTTCTACCTCTGTTTTCCAAACCAAATCCAATCTTAAAACTGGTTTTCAAAAATACAATAATTGCATAACTTTCTAGACAGAGACATTAAATCAATTCGGGCAAACCAACACTAGCAGTTGCAAATGTATCTATTAGTGTCACCGTATAAACACCAGAGGTCACAGCATCAACATCGTTCATTTGCGCATATTGATATATAATCTCTCTGTTGGGAAAGTTATTGCAAATGTGTTGTGAAAAATTATTTTAGAATGATATTTGTTTCTGGAAAATAAACTAAATACTATACATTCATATCAAAAGGTAACACTGAGAGTTGATGGTGCAACCCCTAGTTTTCATATGGTGACACTGGGGTTATATTTACAAATGCTAGTGTTCATTAGCCAAAAATGATCTAATATCTGTTTTTTGAAAACATGCTTGAGAATGCTATTTGTTTTGAAAAATAAATATCCATGTGGTGACACTAGGGGTTACATGTGCAGCTGTTAGTATTCATGTAATGCTCAATCTACGCAATCTGAGATCGAGACAGAAAGGCCAAATATGCAAAGTTTGAACAAAATCCAATCAATATCTACAGAATTTGGTTTGAATTTGGTTTGTGTCAGCCAAGCCCTAAGCTTACTTATCACGCTTATGGTTACAACATAACAGAACTCCTAACAAAGTATTAGCCTTGGTCATCGTTCACAATGGTGAACGTTCTCTCACATGTCCACTCAAATTCTCGACTAGTTTAACAACATAGAGTAACGTCCCCTTGTGATGTATAAAATATTTAAGGAAGCACTCATAAAATATCCTTAATTATTCCTTACACATAAATTATATCTTCCAAAGGTTAGATTTAAAGATTTTTCGTATTCATTGTGTAACTCGTGACCTTGGCCTTAGATCATTGATGTAACGTTTTCAGTGCATTGAATAAACATTTAAGTAACCACAACTATTAAGAGAGAACCAATATTAAATTAACTTTGGCATTTATTTATAAATAAACAGCGGAGCACAAAGTTAGGACAGGGTGACCTTCTTTCCATGACAATGATAGTTGTATATTAAGATACATGTACTCACCGTCATTCTGGCACAAAAACTTTCAAGTGTCACAGGAAGTGTCCCTAATTTGCCAAAGAGAAAGCGAACTAGTGACCTTGACACTGATTGTTCATATATAACTAACACTATTAAACTGAGACCTTTACGTACAGGTCAAATATGCTAAGTATCCAAACAACATCTTGATAAATATGAGGAGCATGTACTGTTGGTCAAGCTGACCTCCATTTCATATCGACCAGTGAAGATCCGGGGTAGAATAGGTCCTCAGCAACCCATGCTTGCCGTAAAAGGCGACTATGCTTGTCGTAAGAGGCGACTAACGGGATAGGATGGTCAGGCTCGCTGACTTGGTTGATGCATGTCATCGTATCCCAATTGCGTGGACCGATCCTCATGATATTAATCACTGGATTGTCTGGTCCAGGCTCGATTATTTACAGACCGCCGTCATATCGCTGGAATATTGCTAAGTGCGGCGTTGAATAACAAACCAACCAACCATTTTATATCAATGAAATGACCTCAACACATTTCATCAATTTTGGACTAAAATATTACATGTAACAAAAAGGTCCCTCAAATGCCAAACTGAAAGTTTTTAGTGACTTTGACCCTGGGCCCTTAGATGCCCCAAACTAATCAATCCGACTCCCTTGGGTTACACATATGGTATACAAAGTTTTAATGCTAGGATGATTTACATGAAAAAGCTGTTGCATGAACATGAGCGACAGGAGCAAACAAATTCATTGAAGAAAATGAAAGGAGCCCGTTTTCATGGAACTGCTTTTCCAAATACATGTACAAGCACAAACACTTCTATATAATCTATGTACACACCAAACCCACACGTCCTCCATCCCCACCTTCTTGAACGCTGCCATCCCCTCTCACTTTAAGCGTTGAAGTTGCAACAGTTAGTGTTCATTGTTACAGTAAGGGCTAGGTGAACACTAAGGGATGTAACAAGGGTTGTAGGATGACATTCCAGATCTGGACCAAGGCTTGTCGCGACCTGTGAGGATGCGGGGTAGAATTGGTCTTTCGCAACTCATGCTTGTCGTGAAAGGCGAGTATGCTTGTCTTAAGTTGCGACTAACGGGATCGGATGGTCAGACAGGCTGTCTTGATTGATACATGTCATCGTATCCCAATGGCGTGGATCGATGCTCATGATGTCAATCACTGGATTGTCTGGTCCAGACTCGCCGTCATATAGCTGGAATATTGCTGAGTGCGGCGTTAAAAAAAGAAAGAAAGAAAGAAACAAACAAACCAAAAGTTGTCACAGCTGGACCAACGTCACCGGTTGGTTTGGAAGTCGGTGTAAACAAGGCTGCATTTCATCCAAACAGGTTCGATGGGCGACAGATCTGGCGAAACAGCAGCCCAAGGGAGTGTGGGGATGTTTTGTCCAATGAAATCTGTGAGACCTCAACGATTTATTATGGGGTTGAATTGACTCGGTACCGTGTGTGAATAAGCGACGAATTCGTAATCATGGGATTTTATGCACGCAATGACCGGGATGCACGTGCAATATCTAAGCGTTTCTAAGGCAATTATATTTTATGTGATGTTTTATGATGCACGTGAAAATTTTCCGTCTGTATTTAAAACTCATGTCGTCTTCTTTTCTCATGTGTAACATTACCTGTTCAGATTTCCACCTCCCGGGTGATCTGACGTACCGGCTGTCGACATCCATGGTGCCAATGCTGGAAGGTTTTAGTGCAGGTACCAAGCCAGGGACAGGTGGTGTACACTTCATTAGAGGAAGTGTATTTCTGGAAGCAATGTTAAGAATTTGCAGATGCTTTGAAAACAGTGAGTGAGTGAGTGAGTGAGTGAGTTGGGTTTAACGCCGCTTTTAACAGTATTCCAGTTATATCGCGGCGTGTCAGCTTAATGTGGGAGGAAAGCTCGAAGTGATGCAGGTCTCAGACGTTTACCACTTCGGTGAAACCCACGAGCACGGGTATGGTGCTAACAAACCTAGAAACATAATCGGGGCGAACCGGGATTCGAACCCACAATCATAGGTTTCTGGCGTGTCCAGAGGACGCAACTCTGCACAGCGAATCGCGGCGCCTTAGACGACTGGGCCACCCGTGCCCCCTGGAAACAGTAAGGTGAGGTGAGGTGAAATGAGGTTTAAAGTCGCGTCCAAGATTATTGCACTTATATCGCGACGTGCATGCACGTGTGTGTGTGGCTGCTTGTACTAGTCCGGACTGATGCCGATTTATAGTGCTAGCTCACTGAGATACCATGCCGCAGTTTAACATGAATACTCCACTCAGACACAGTATACTGACTCCGAGCCGACCAGTCCTTGTTTAGCCCTTTAATGCCGAGCGCAAGACAGGGTGACAACAAGTGCCATCTTTTAACGTCTTTTGGTGTGACGCGGCGAACCCGGACCTTCCGTTCTCCAGGATGGACGCTCTACCACTAGACCAGGGAGACGGTCCTGAAAACAATAACCTAAACAGGGTTAACCTTGTTTCCCACTTGCCTCATGGAAGAAGTCAATATTGGTATACATCGATCATCTCTCAGCTGTTGTGCTAGTCTGTCATACAGACCCTGAAATACATATATCCACTAGAACCTATAATGTTTAGCAAGTCTATAATGTTTAGCAAGCCTAGATTACTGCAGTAATGTAGAAAGTCTCTACATTTTATAACTATGATTTAACAAATATTTTTGCTGTAAAATATTTCATTTCAGAGACTAGATGTTAGTACTGTCGTGCTTGCTGGAATATGCCAAACATACCATTCCAATAACAACTAACCTCTGTAGGCACATTCAGTTTTCAGCGCTAATCGAACTTGTTAGATGCAACGATTGATTTCCACTCGTCAGGGATTTGGAGTGAGCTGTATGGACTTGTTCGGAACTGGACGGAGACATATGGCGCGACTAACATCATTAGTGGGCCAATATTTGACCACAGTCACAGAGGACATCTGGATGTAACGAACATTATAAATGGGTAAGAATTGAGTGAGTTAGTGAGTGAGTGAGCGGGTGTGTGTGGGGGTGGGTTGTTGAGTGAGTGAGTGGTTGAGTGTGTGTGTGTGTGTGTGTGGCGGGGGTAGTTGAGTGAGTGAGTGAGTGGGTGTGGGGTTGGGGTTGGGTGGGTGAGTGAGTGAGTGAGTGAGTGAGTGGGTGTGTGGGTAGTTGAGTGAGTGAGTGAGTGAATGAGTGAACAATGGTTGGTTTGTTAAACGTGGTAAGATTTGCATTGATATGTATTTGAATATGGTATATTTCGTAATGACATTCATTTACACAGATGAAAGCTATAAACACTGACACCTCGTCCCGACTGATGTTGACCGACGTGCAGACAGGGACTTGACTGTATTCCCGTCCTGTACCGACAATACAGTCGCCATTACTGAACTGTTTTTATCCAGCCCAACAGCCTACTCAGGTGTTTTTGTGTAATATTGCAGATCCTCTGGTATTCCCTCCGACTACTTCACAATCATCAGCCAGCGTGGATCTGATGTGACCCGTCTGGACACCTGTAGAGATCCTCATGTTCTGGCCTTTATACTTCCCCACCGACCGTCCTACACATTCAACTGTCAGGTCAGTATACTTCCCCACCGACCGTCCTACACATTCAACTGTCAGGTCAGTATACTTCCCCACACACCCTCCTACACATTCAACTGTCAGGTCAGTATACTTCCCCACAGACCGTCCTACACATTCAACTGTCAGGTCAGTATACTTCCCCACAGACCGTCCAACACATTCAACTGTCAGGTCAGTATACTTCCCCACCGACCGTCCTACACATTCAACTGTCAGGTCAGTATACTTCCCCACAGACCGTCCTACACATTCAACTGTCAGGTCAGTATACTTCCTCACAGACCGTCCTACACATTCAACTGTCAGGTCAGTATACTTCCCCACCGACCGTCCTACACATTCAACTGTCAGGTCAGTATACTTCCCCACAGACCGTCCTACACATTCAACTGTCAGGTCAGTATACTTCCCCACAGACCGTCCTACACATTCAACTGTCAGGTCAGTATACTTCCCCACCGACCGTCCTACACATTCAACTGTCAGGTCAGTATACTTCCCCACAGACCGTCCTACACATTCAACTGTCAGGTGAGTATACTTCCTCACCGACCGTCCTACACATTCAACTGTCAGGTCAGTATACTTCCCCGCCGACCTTCCTACACATTCAACTGTCAGGTCAGTATACTTCCCCACAGACCGTCCTACACATTCAACTGTCAGGTCAGTATACTTCCCCACAGACCGTCCTACTCATTCAACTGTCAGGTCAGTATACTTCCCCACCGACCGTCCTACACATTCAACTGTCAGGTCAGTATACTTCCCCACCGACCTTCCTACACATTCAACTGTCAGGTCAGTATACTTCCCCACAGAGCGTCCTACTCATTCAACTGTCAGGTCAGTATACTTCCCTACACACAGTCCTACACATTCAACTGTCAGGTCAGTATACTTCCTCACAGACCGTCCTACTCATTCAACTGTCAGGTCAGTATACTTCCCCACAGACCGTCCTACTCATTCAACTGTCAGGTCAGTATACTTCCCCACCGACCGTCCTACACATTCAACTGTCAGGTCAGTATTCTTCCCCACCGACCTTCCTACACATTCAACTGTCAGGTCAGTATACTTCCCCACACACAGTCCTACACATTCAACTGTCAGGTCAGTATACTTCCTCACATACCGTCCAACACATTCAACTGTCAGGTCAGTATACTTCCCTACACACAGTCCTACACATTCAACTGTCAGGTCAGTATACTTCCTCACAGACCGTCCAACACATTCAACTGTCAGGTCAGTATACTTCCCCACAGACCGTCCTACTCATTCAACTGTCAGGTCAGTATACTTCCCCACAGACCGTCCTACACATTCAACTGTCAGGTCAGTATACTTCCCCACAGACCGTCCTACACATTCAACTGTCAGGTCAGTATACTTCCCCACACACCCTCCTACACATTCAACTGTCAGGTCAGTATACTTCCTCACCGACCGTCCTACACATTCAACTGTCAGGTCAGTATACTTCCCCACAGACCGTCCTACTCATTCAACTGTCAGGTCAGTATACTTCCCCACAGACCGTCCTACTCATTCAGCTGTCAGGTCAGTATACTTCCTCACAGACCGTCCTACTCATTCAACTGTCAGGTCAGTATACTTCCTCACACACAGTCCTACACATTCAACTGTCAGGTCAGTATACTTCCCCACAGACCGTCCTACACATTCAACTGTCAGGTCAGTATACTTCCTCACAGATCATTCAACACATTCAACTGTCAGGTCAGTATACTTCCCTATACACAGTCCAACACATTCAACTGTCAGGTCAGTATACTTCCCTACACACAGGCCTACACATTCAACTGTCAGGTCAGTATACTTCCCCACAGACCGTCCTACTCATTCAACTGTCAGGTCAGTATACTTCCCCACAGACCGTCCTACTCATTCAACTGTCAGGTCAGTATACTTCCTCACAGACCGTCCTACTCATTCAACTGTCAGGTCAGTATACTTCCTCACACACAGTCCTACACATTCAACTGTCAGGTCAGTATACTTCCCCACAGACCGTCCTACACATTCAACTGTCAGGTCAGTATACTTCCCTACACACAGTCCTACACATTCAACTGTTAGGTCAGTATACTTCCTCACCGACCGTCCTACAAATTCAACTGTCAGGTCAGTATACTTCCCCACAGACAGTCCTACACATTCAACTGTCAGGTCAGTATACTTCCTGACAGACAGTCCTACACATTCAACTTTCAGGTCAGTATACTTCCCCACCGACCGTCCTACACATTCAACTGTCAGGTCAGTATACTTCCCTACACACAGGCCTACACATTCAACTGTCAGGTCAGTATACTTCCCCACAGACCGTCCTACTCATTCAACTGTCAGGTCAGTATACTTCCCCACCGACCGTCCTACACATTCAACTGTCAGGTCAGTATACTTCCCCACAGACCGTCCTACTCATTCAACTGTCAGGTCAGTATACTTCCCCACAGACCGTCCTACTCATTCAATTGTCAGGTCATTTTACTTCCCCACAGACCGTCCTACTCATTCAACTGTCAGGTCAGTATACTTCCTCACAGACCTTCCTTCTCATTCAACTGTCAGGTCAGTATACTTCCCCACACACCCTCCTACACATTCAACTGTCAGGTCAGTATACTTCCTCACAGACCGTTCAACACATTCAACTGTCAGGTCAGTATACTTCCCCACAGACCGTCCAACACATTCAACTGTCAGGTCAGTATACTTCCCTACACACAGGCCTACACATTCAACTGTCAGGTCAGTATACTTCCTCACAGACCGTCCAACACATTCAACTGTCAGGTCAGTATACTTCCCTACACACAGGCCTACACATTCAACTGTCAGGTGAGTATACTTCCCCACAGACCGTCCTACACATTCAACTGTCAGGTCAGTATACTTCCTGACAGACCGTCCAACACATTCAACTGTCAGTTCAGTATACTTCCTCACAGACCATTAACCGCTGTGTCCATGTAGCCATTAACCACTGAGCCCATTTAGCCATTAACCATTGTGTCCATATAGCCATTAACCATTGTGTCCATATAGCCATTAACCACTGTGTCCATTTAGCCATTAACCGCTGCGCCCTTTTAGCCATTAACCACTGCGCCCATTTAGCCATTACCCACTGTGTCCACAAAGCCATTACCCACTGTGTCCACATAGCCATTACCCACTGTGTCCATTTAGCCATTAACCACTGTGTCCACAAAGCCATTACCCACTGTGTCCACATAGCCATTACCCAGTGCGCCCATTTAGCCATTAACCATTGTGTCCATATTGCCATTACCCACTGTGCCCATTTAGCCATTAACCACTGTGTCCACATAGCCATTAACCACTGTGTCCACATAGCCATTACCCACTGTGTCCATGTAGCCATTAACCACTGCGCCCATTTAGCCACTACCCACTGTGTCCACATAGCCATTAACCACTGTGTCCATGTAGCCATTACCCACTGTGTCCACATAGCCATTAACCACTGTGTCCATGTAGCCACTACCCACTGTGTCCACATAGCCATTAACCACTGTGTCCATGTAGCCATTAACCACTGTGTCCATATAGTCATTAACCACTGTGTCCATTTAGCCATTAACCACTGTGTCCATGTAGCCATTAACCACTGTGTCCATTTAGCCATTAACCACTGTGTCCATGTAGCCATTAACCACTGTGTCCATTTAGCCATTAACCACTGTGTCCATGTAGCCATTAACCACTGTGTCCATATAGTCATTAACCATTGTGTCCATATTGCCATTACCCACTGTGTCCATTTAGCCATTAACCACTGTGTCCACATAGCCATTACCCACTGTGTCCATTTAGCCATTAACCACTGTGTCCACATAGCCATTACCCACTGTGTCCATGTAGCCATTAACCACTGTGTCCACATAGCCATTAACCACTGTGTCCACATAGCCATTAACCACTGTGACCATGTAGCCATTAACCACTGTGTCCACATAGCCATTAAGGATTGTGTCCATTTTGCCATTAAGGATTGTGTCCATTTTGCCATTAGCCACTGCGCCCATTTAGCCATTAACCACTGTGTCCACATAGCCATTAAGGATTGTGTCCATTTTGCCATTAACGATTGTGTCCATTTTGCCATTAGCCACTGCGCCCATTTAGCCACTACCCACTGTGTCCACATAGCCATTAACCACTGTGTCCACATAGCCATTAAGGATTGTGTCCATTTTGCCATTAGTCACTGCGCCCATTTAGCCATTAACCACTGCGCCCATTTAGCCATTAAGGATTGTGTCCACATAGCCATTAAGGATTGTGTCCATTTTGCCATTAGCCACTGCGCCCATTTAGCCACTACCCACTGTGTCCACATAGCCACTACCCACTGTGTCCATGTAGCCATTAAGGATTGTGTCCATTTTGCCATTAGCCACTGCGCCCATTTAGCCATTAACCACTGTGTCCACATAGCCATTAAGGATTGTGTCCATTTAGCCATTAGCCACTGCGCCCATTTAGCCACTACCCACTGCGCCCATTTAGCCATTAAGGATTGTGTCCACATAGCCATTAACCATTGTGTCCACATAGCCATTAACCACTGTGTCCACATAGCCATTAAGGATTGTGTCCACATAGCCATTAACCACTGTGTCCACATAGCCATTAAGGATTGTGTCCATATAGCCATTAACCACTGCGTCCATTTAGCCATTAACCATTGTGTCCACATAGCCATTACCCACTGTGTCCACATAGCCATTAAGGATTGTGTCCATATAGCCATTAACCACTGCGCCCATTTAGCCATTAACCACTGCGCCCATTTAGCCATTAACCACTGCGCCCATTTAGCCATTAACCACTGCGCCCATTTAGCCATTAACCACTGTGTCCACATAGCCATTAACCATTGTGTCCATTTAGCCATTAACCACTGCGTCCATTTAGCCATTAACCACTGCGCCCATTTAGCCATTAACCACTGTGTCCATATAGTCATTAACCACTGTGTCCACATAGCCATTAACCACTGTGTCCACATAGCCATTAACCACTGTGTCCACATAGCCATTAAGGATTGTGTCCATTTTGCCATTAGCCACTGCGCCCATTTAGCGAGTAACCACTGTGTCCACATAGCCATTAACCACTGTGTCCACATAGCCATTAACGATTGTGTCCATTTTGCCATTAGCCACTGCGCCCAATTAGCCATTAACCACTGTGTCCACAAAGCCATTACCCACTGTGTCCACATAGCCATTACCCAGTGCGCCCATTTAGCCATTAACCACTGTGTCCATATAGTCATTAACCACTGCGTCCATTTAGCCATTAACCACTGCGCCCATTTAGCCAGTAACCACTGTGTCCACATAGCCATTACCCAGTGCGCCCATTTAGCCATTAACCACTGTGTCCATATAGTCATTAACCACTGCGCCCATTTAGCCATTAACCACTGCGTCCATTTAGCCATTAACCACTGTGTCCATATCGCCATTAACCACTGTGTCCATATAGTCATTAACCACTGCGCCCATTTAGCCATTAACCACTGTGTCCACATAGCCATTACCCACTGTGTCCATATAGTCATTAACCACTGTGTCCACATAGCCATTAACCACTGTGTCCACATAGCCATTAACCACTGTGTCCACATAGCCATTAACCACTGTGTCCACATAGCCATTAACCACTGTGTCCACATAGCCATTAACCACTGTGTCCACATAGCCATTAACCACTGTGTCCATACAGCAATTAACGACTCCATATCTGATCTGTCCTTGCTGTTGGTGCGTGATACGAAACTCTCTTCTATTCCAGAATGCAACTCATTACCTGTTGGACAATGAAGTCAGAGTGCGAGATGTGGAGCTCCTCACAGGGCTAGAGTTTTTCACCAACACCCCTGTAGAGAGCTCTGCACAGATACGGACAGCACTGCCACACACCTTATGGAACATGAGCTGAACTCATGATGTCACCGATGTGTCACTGCAGTGACATGGAAAATCATAAGTGAAATGTATGATCGTTAACATACGAGTATGTCGACATTATTTTTATATCGTCCCAGTATTGAAATCTCAAAACATCTTTTACCTCTTTTTTTTAGATGACACAATTTTAAACTGTGCATTTTTTACAGCTACAATGATTTGTCACAAACTGCAGGTGCCCAAAGGGTGTGGAAGATCGCATCTGTGACGGGGGGAATATATTCTTATACCAGCAAAAACAGTAACTGTGGTTTTTTTAAATATTTTTATTTCAATTCAGTAGATAATTGTAACATTGGTATATGAGGTATATATACGTGTAGCAATTCATAGAATCTTAAAACATGATCAGATATGGGTATGTACATCTATTTATTGACTGAGAAATTATATAAGTAGGCTGATAATTCCTTCCATTTCCTGTCGAATCGAATAATATTATTATTTTTCATTGCGATATTTTTTCCTGTTTTACATACATCTTTCAATAATTTTATGAAAAAAGGAAAGCATAATGGAGTTTTCTTTATGTCTAGTGTGAATGTTATGTTATTGACAATATACTATTGATCATTAGTCTAATCAATGTTTCATCATAACAAATTCATTGACAAAATCCATATAGCTGTAACAGGAAATAGAGCGACATGCCCATAAAGAGGGGCGGTGTAACAACTCAATTGACAATGTCAATACCAGGTGTGGCCACCACATGTGTTGATGCAGGCGAGGCAGTGGCGGTGCATTGAAAACAACCGATGACTGAAAACAGCCAGGGGGATGTTGCTCCAAATGTCAGCCAAAGATTGACCCAACTGCTAGCATTACCAGCTGGTTCGGGTCCTGTCATAGGCGTCGCTTTGTCTTATCCCAGACGTGTTCAGAGGGAGAGAAGTCTACAGAAACAGCCAAGCAAGACATTTCAAAATGTTTTACATTGTGTGGTCGGGCGTTATTCTGCTGCAGCGTGACGTTACGTGCAATTGCTCAAACGGTAGGGCATGATCTCGAACGATGTCGTCCCGGAAGCGTACGCCATTCTGATTGCATTATACAATTGTGAGCTCTGTTCTCCCATGAGTTGTGATACCAACCCATACCATTACACTTCCACACCCAATCTGACAACGTTGAGTTACGCAAACGTCACGAAAACATTCTCCATGACGCATGTAGGTCCTTGCACGACGATCAGAGCTGTCGAGATCATGGTTTTCGTGCTGACGTAACGTCACACTACAACTGTCGTAACTCCATACTTCATCCTGGGTATGATGTTATCTACGACTGTCGTAACTCCATACTTCATCCTGGGTATGATGTTATCTACGACTGTCGTAACTCCATACTTCATCCTGGGTATGATGTTGTCTACGACTGTCGTAACTCCATACTTCATCCTGGGTATGATGTTATCTATGACTGTCGTAACTCCATACTCCATCCTGGGTATGATGTTATCTACGACTGTCGTAACTCCATACTCCATCCTGGGTATGATGTTATCTACGACTGTCGTAACTCCATACTTCATCCTGGGTTTGATGTCATCTACGACTGTCGTAACTCCCACAATGGCACTCCATGGTGATTCTGAAACATTTTATAAAAGGGTTACATTCATTCGGCTACAATAATTACCACTAACCAAATGTCACATGTGTTTTTACCAGTTACTTATAATATTTAAACAGATTTGTATAATATTGCAATATATAATCGTTATATAATCGAATATATATATATATATGAAGTCTATGTTTTGTGCATATGTATTGACCAAGATAAGAGAAATAAAGATGACTGAAAGCGTTCTTTCTTCCATTATTGCCGGATAACGTCCTGAGCATCTGAGTTTGCACACATGTGTTAGCATAATACCATCTTTCCCGAGGCAAGGGAGTTAACTAACTTTTAAAAGTCCAGTATCCATCCTTGGCTTGAATGTCTGGGCTCGACTGAAGCACCGCCAGTGGCTAATACGAGTATTACGAGTTATTATAAGGCTCTCCTATTGACCAAACAGATTCCGCTTCTCATTTCACCAACAAAATGGCGGCGCCTAGTCAAGACGATCTGATCGATAATCAAGGTCTATGGTGTTAAAAAAATCGGGTCTTACTTCGCATCACATCACATCACGTGAGCACCTTGATTAAAAACGTGAAAATATTTGTAAAATATCTGCTGTCGCCAAGTTGGCGGTACACATGCTTTGCAAATCCTGCAATCAACCGAAATCTGCACGACCGTTGAAGATCCGGATGTCGATTTCCTTGCGCGATTTTGATAGGGCTATGCATAGACTCATTAGTCCAGCCAAAATTCCATAATTCCAGTCTAGTTCGGCAACGGTAGAAGCTGGACGTTTACAGTAAGTTAACTCCCTTGCCTTGGGGAGATGGCATACTACTGACCTCTGGGTACTGCATTCAGGAAACATGCTCTAACGTAACTGATCTCAAGATACTGATACCATGATACTCACCTCAAGATACAGACCGCAAAGTACTGACCTCAAGACACTGGACACATAATACTGACCACATTCTACTGACCTCAAGACACTGGACACATAATACCGACCGCATTCTACTGACATCAAGACACTGGACACATAATACCGACCGCATTCTACTGACATCAAGACACTGGACACATAATACCGACCGCATTCTACTGACCTCAAGACACTGGACACATAATACTGACCACATTCTACTGACCTCAAGACACTGGACACATAATACCGACCACAGTCTACTGACATCAAGACACTGGACACATAATACTGACCACATTCTACTGACACCAAGACACTGGACACATAATACAGTTCACATTCTACTGACATCAAGACACTGGACGCATAATACCGACCACATTCTACTGACCTCAAGACACTGGACACATAATACCGACCACAGTCTACTGACATCAAGACACTGGACACATAATACTGACCACATTCTACTGACACCAAGACACTGGACACATAATACCGACCACATTCTACTGACATCAAGACACTGGACACATAATACCGACCACATTCTACTGACACCAAGACACTGGACACATAATACCGACCACATTCTACTGACCTCAAGACACTGGAAACATAATACTGACCACATTCTACTGACACCAAAACACTGGACACATAATACTGACCACATTCTACTGACACCAAAACACTGGACACATAATACCGACCGCATTCTACTGACATCAAGACACTGGACACATAATACCGACCACATTCTACTGACATCAAGACACTGGACACATAATACCGACCACATTCTACTGACCTCAAGACGCTGACCACAAGACGCTGACCTCAAAATAATGTATATACGATACTGACCTCAAGCTAATGCATATACGATACTGACATCAAGATAATATACACATGCTACTGACCTCGAAATTATGGACACAGCATACTGACCTTAGGACACTGACCTTAAGATAATGTACACGATGCTGACCTCAAGATAATGTACACGATGCTGACCTCAAAATAATGTATACACGATGCTGACCCTAAGATAATGTATACACGATGCTGACCTCAAGATAATGTATACATGACGCTGACCTCAAGATAATGTATACGATGCTGACCCCAAGATAATGTACACACGATGCTGACCATAAGATAATGTACACGATGCTGACCTCAAGATAATGTACACACGATGCTGACCTCAAGATAATGTACACACGATGCTGACCTCAAGATAATGTATACACGATGCTGACCCTAAGATAATGTATACACGATGCTGACCTCAAGATAATGTATACATGACGCTGACCTCAAGATAATGTATACACGATGCTGACCCCAAGATAATGTACACACGATGCTGACCTCAAGATAATGTACACGTACTACTCACCTCACGACACTGAATACATGATACTAACCCAAAGATAATGTACACACGATGCTGACCTCAAGATAATGTACACACGATGCTGACCTCAAGATAATGTGAACACGATGCTGACCTCAAGATAATGTACACGATGCTGACCTCAAGATAATGTATACATGATGCTGACCTCAAGATAATGTACACGATGCTGACCTCAAGATAATGTACACACGATGCTGACCTCAAGATAATGTATACATGATGCTGACCCCAAGATAATGTATACATGATTCTGACCCCAAGATAATGTACACGCGATGCTGACCTCAAGATAATGTACACACGATGCTTACCCCAAGATAATGTACACACGATGCTGACCTCAAGATAATGTACACACGATGCTGACCCCAAGATAATGTACACACGATGCTGACCCCAAGATAATGTATACACGATGCTGACCCCAAGATAATGTACCAAGGATGCTGACCCCAAGATAATGTTTACATGATGCTGACCCCAACACAATGTATACACGATGCTGACCCCAAGATAATGTATACGCGATGCTGACCTCAAGATAATGTATACACGATGCTGACCTCAAGATAATGTATACACGATGCTGACCTCAAGATAATGTATACACGATGCTGACCTCAAGATAATGTATACACGATGCTGACCTCAAGATAATGTATACACGATGCTGACCTCAAGATAATGTACACACGATGCTGACCTCAAGATAATGTACCAATGATGCTGACCCCAAGATAATGTACACACGATGCTGACCTCAAGATAATGTATACACGATGCTGACCCCAAGATAATGTATACACGATGCTGACCCCAAGATAATGTATACACGATGCTGACCCCAAGATAATGTACACACGATGCTGACCTCAAGATATTGTATACATGATGCTGTCCTCAAGATAATGTATTCATGATGCTGACCTCAAGATAATGTATTCATGATGCTGACCTCAAGATAATGTATTCATGATGCTGACCTCAAGATATTGTACACGTACTACTCACCTCACGAAACTGAATACACGATACTGACCCCAAGATTCCCTAAAAAAACTTACGTGTTATGTACAGTTCACAAATTAATTGTACACATATCTATCATTGATCAGTGTGTCGATACATTTTGACAGCCACCCTTCAGTATGAAGAACCTGACATGGACGGCTGCAGTTTGCATAACTAGTTGAAGCAGTGGTAAAATCTGCTATTGTTAGCTTGTAGGCAAATTGGCAACATTGACTTCTACATAAAATTTTGAAATTAAAATCTAATCATAAAAGGTACTTATTAAGTACTTGATACCTGCAAGGACTCCGTTGAGGGTTCTCTTGTTAACTTATATGCCTAAATACAGTCACCAGTTGTTATTTGGTTTAAAAGCTTTGACCAGGTTAGTTATAATGAAATTTCTACCGTTGCACTTTTTAACAAACTCTAGCTCAAAATTAAGACCGTAACAAGTTATTTGCATAATTATTTGCCAAGATGGATCAATGCAAGAGGTAATTGGAAAGTAGGAAAGATGTGAAATGCTGTTTAACGTCCCAATCTATGGTAAACCAGCCATATGGCATGACATCACTGCACAGCCTCGGTTGTAAGGCTCCATTACAAAATCTCCCAAGCATGACAGTATTATCCCAGAATTACTTTCATCTCCACCGCACCAGCGTAAGCTGCAGCAAAGCTTATATTTAAACATGATCTGAGGCCTGGGGCAAAGATAGCACAAGGGATTAAACAAAATATTCAACATGCTATTGGCGTGACGTTGAAGTGTGGAGAACACGTCTAGCAACAAAATATCCCAAACATTATCATCTCCGTAACCATCAAATATCTCAAATGTGGTATTAGTTGACACACCCACAATGAAGGTACAACTGTCACAAATTGTGCTACCAATTTAAGATCAGGCCTCCAGGGTCTATTTTTATAAACAAGTCCCACTTGTGCAAAAAACTGGAAGACTGTCAGTCTGGTCCATTCATGCATAAAGACCCGTGAAGATCCGGGGTAGAATAGGTCTTCAGCAACACATGCTTGTCGTAAGAGGCGACTTACGGGATCGGGTGGTCAGGCTCGCTGACTTGGTTGCTGCATGTCATTGTATCCCACTTGCGTGGATATAATGTCAATTACTGGATTGTCTGGTCCAGACTCGATTATTCACAGACCGCCGTCATATACAGGTAGCTGGAATATTGTTGAATGCGGCGTTTAAACAACAAACAAACAAACATTCATGCATATGACGCAGTCCAACAGGCCTGTCATCTGCACGTGCATCACAACAGAGGCAACATTATTGCTTCTCTTTTACATCATAAACGTGATGCTGTGCAAGGACAGCCATATGAACCAGTATACTTGACAACCATACAGCAGCCATAGTAGCACAAAATAACTAGGTTGACAATATACATATTAGTTGTTTTACTGTGGTTGTAATGATGCTTGTCAACTTCTCCCACGTGATAATGCGTAGCTTTTATTAGTCTTGGTGATATCCCCTCGCTAATGTAGACTGCTTCATCAACATACACCAATCATGAAATATCCGATATACGTTCTACAACGTTCTGAAAACAGCAGCGTGCAAGCCCGTCGGCACTCAAGAAACCCAAGAACCTTAACCGACATCAGAACGGGCGCCCAAGGTTTTATCACTTAGTAAAGCCTGTTGCTATTTATAGTTTCTATCTATTTCCGCCGCTAGTAGACAACCGCGAGTGGAGAAGTGAATACCTACTCATTTATATACGCTGTTCGGATGGAGCACGTTTTGTGTGTGGATATGCTACATCTATCGTGAAAACAACACACTATAACAACCTTCAGTATGTCTCTTAAGGTAAGACTTGTTGCACAATGCATAACTAAGCACCTTGTGCAACATTGTCTCGGAGTTTATGCATCGCGTGCCAGTGATATTGGGACGGTTGTTGGGTGTTGAACATACACTATAAGCACCGCCGTGCATGGGAATCGATGGGGGCTGGAATATATTTGTTATTATATATTTGGGGGTTCATAATCACGTTAGGAACCCTATCACAAATCATATCAAAGTGAAAACGAGAGCGTGTCATTTGATCCAGCATGTCAACAACACAAATGACAATGGTGAACATTCCCTGTATCGTCTGCCGCGATGACAGCAGTGTATACCAATGACGGGCATATGCCGCCTGCTCTGTGCCTGTGCAGGGGGACTTACGACCAATTTACGCTCTTGTGACACCCAACGCTGGAGTTGTCGTTTACAATATATACGCCAGTAATATTCAAGGCATATTTTAAAAATAAATATTTAGAAGTAGTTGTGATCAAAGACGTATATATATCTATATATCTATATACCTATTTGTTGTGATGAAAAGGAACAGACACACTAATCATGTTGAGGTATTAAAACACACATATATATATATAACTATATCATTTGGTAAGATGTTGTCAGCTTATTTATTTGTCTAATGTTTCTTGTTTCGGCAGACTGACACGTTTGAAGATGTATGTATATATATTCACTACTCTGGTTCTGGGTACCCCGTTTACTAATCCAGCAAACACAATGACATTGGATCAATGTTGGTCAGTTTCTCCCTTCTGACTATGTTGGTCCAGTGTTGGAGGATATTGGTCTAGTATATAGTTTGCACAGTGTTTTCAATTTAGTCCAATGTTGGCAACACGACTACCCGGACCGTGGTTGGTCATGTGATATATTGTTTAATAATAATATCAAAAATTATCCAGAACTCTATGGTTACACTACAAGTCACCAATGTTCACATTTCTTTCTGACTTCTCATATGGTTGAATAAAGATATAACTTAAGTCAACTTCAGTGTATGCATGACCAGATTGTTGAATACATGTATCTAAATACGTTTTGCCAGGGCTATGGTAAAAATATTCATAATCAAACATTTTGTACCTATTTCTTGAGACCAACAGTGGGTACTCGGGTAGTGTCAGGTAATAGGTGGGTGGGTAACCGGCTAGTAAATTTGGACTCGCCCTGGTTGACACTCTTCATTGTTGGTGTTGCCCTTGACTTAACTGCATTTTAGTGCGATATTAATCTCTACAAAGACTCTATCAAAAATAACCATAATTTTTTCCATCTCAGCTAAAAAACAATCCTACAAAAGATTACATAACTGGGCACAAAGATTCAATATAGTGTCGCCTAACGTGATCGGGCTGTCAGGTTCGCTGATTTGGTTGATGCATGTCGTCATATCCCAATTGTGTAGATTGATGCTCATGATGTCAATCACTGGATTGTCTGGTCCAGACTCGATTATTTCCAGACCGTCGTCATAAGCTGGAATATTGCTGAGTGCGGTGTTAAACAACAAACAAAACAAAAAACAATATAGTGAGCGTTGTATTTTAAACTAAGTATGTATTTTAAACAAAGTATGTTTTTCACTGGATGTACAATAACACTGGAGAAATGTCATCAAGCACTGTATGGACAAACATTCCTGACTAAGTAAAGTGAAGTTAGTCTTTTTCATTTTTAGCATGTGTATATGTTCACTCCCATTATTCTTTACACTTAGGGGCGGTGGGGTAGCCAAGAGGTTAAAGTGTCATGCCAAAGACCCGTGTTCGATTCCCGACATGGGTACAATGTGTGAAGCCCGTTTCTGGTGTCCCCCGCCTTATTATTGCTGGGATATTGCTAAAAGCGGCGTAAAACCATACTCACTCACTTCTTCACACTTACAAGTTATAATATTATGTAAAGTAGTGTGCAAATGTGCCCATGATGATTTACAAGCTGATCACATATCGGTTTCACTTAAAAGGCACAGAATTCTTCAAATATTGTCTTTAAGTTTGTTCCCAGGGACCTCTATCATACGTTCTGTGTCTGATGTTTTGGATTTAATTAGATGATACTAATTCTACTACATTAATATGTTCTTTGACATTTGATCATTTTTTAAATACCCTAACAGCAGGGTCAATTGATATCGGAGACATGAATAATCATAAAATATTGTTGAAACGTTTCCAATAGATTATTTGAGGAATATCTTTTGTGTGAAAAGTTGATAGCATAAATCAGATAAATACTTCCTACACATTCAGTGATGCCTGTAACATTTGTTAGTTGGATACAGATATGTTAATTTCAAAGATTCATATAATCATGAAAAATTAATCAAATACTTTTCATTAACAATAACATGATTACAATATTCAACCAATTTTGGTTTTACATGTTTATAACCTATTCTGTTGCATGTATTGTATAAGTATACAGTGATAGCTCCTACAAGGGAGGTAACTGCTTCTGGGTGCAACAGAACAGCTGGTATTTATGATGCCAGGTCTACAGTAACATTACCTAAGAAAATGTGACTTAATCATGGAATTATCATCTAGCTTGTGAATGACTGAGTATGCTTTTACACTGCTTTTAGTAATATCACGGCGGGGGACACCAGAAATTGGCTTCACACATTGTACCCTCGTGGGGAATCAAACCTGGGTCTGCGGCATTACTAGCAAATGCTTTTCTAGCTTGTTGCCGTCACATATTTCTATCCACTAATTAAAGATTTTCATGTAGAGCAGATATCTAGGTCAACAGCACACTACTTTAAACACCTGTGTTGCTGGTAGGCAGTAAATACAAGCCCAACTAAGCTAATTTGTGATTATTTATATATATGAAATTGAATCAGTTAATTTGTAATTCATAATAAGTTTAACAATACATGTACCTTTCTCAAAAGCAAGAGGGGCGGTTGGGTAGCCTAGTGGTTAAAGCGTTTGCTCGTCACACAGGAAACCCATGTTCGATTCCCGACATGGGTACAATGTGTGAAGCCCATTTCTGGTGTCCCCCACCGTGATATTGCTGGAATATTGCTAAAAGTGGTGTAAAATAAAACTCACACACTCACTCACTCACTAAAGCAAGAGATCAGAAAATCTCCAGCTAATTTTCTCAGAAATAATATTTCAAGTCACTTACAAGTGTCTACCAAACACTAAACAGGCAAATGTTTCTACCTACGAGGTTGCAGAAAAAATGCATAACTACAACATAGTGGGAAATCAGTTTAAAATGTCATTTGTTGCACAAAAGACAGGTAAAGAGTCTTAATGTAATTAATCAAACTAAATTTAGAAGTTCATTTACAATGTTGGCCAAAAATCGGCATGCCAAATGGGACATGCTAACATTCATCCAACAGGCCCAATATCAGTGTGTTTGCTGGGAAAGCACCATAATATATAACAAGAAATAGTTTACTTGAGTGGAAATGTGACCCTGATTAACATATTGCAATTTTCCAACATTAACACCAGAATCATCTTTTGGTGTTTATTATTTCCCATGTTTTGTTTTATTTATTATTTCCCATATGTTTTGGTTTTTGGTTGTTTTAAAGCTTTAGTTTTATTGTGTGGGAAAATGGACCTCTGGTACTCCTTTTTCATGCATTTTAACAATAGAAGTGTGTTTGTTTACTTTCTACTATAACACTGACAATAATTTGAATGTCCTTGAGTATTACATTGTGTGTTACTAGAAACGAATCGACTAATCTTTAACTTGAGTATTGCTCAGTAGTATATACAAACTGTGTATAACTTGAGTATTGCCAAGTAGTTACTACAAACTGTGTATAACTTGAGTATTGCCCAGTAGTAACTACAAACTGTGTATAACTTGAGTATTGCCCAGAAGTAACTACAAACTGTGTATAACTTGAGTATTGCCCAGTGGTAACTACAAACTGTGTATAACTTGAGTATTGCCCAGTAGTAACTACAAACTGTGTATAACTTGAATATTGCCCAGTAGTAACTACCAACTGTGTATAACTTGAGTATTGCCAAGTAGTAACTACAAACTGTGTATAACTTGAGTATTGCCCAAAGGTAACTACAAACTGTGTATAACTTGAGTATTGCCCAGTAGTAACTACAAACTGTGTATAACTTGAGTATTGCCCAGAAGTAACTACAAACTGTGTATAACTTGAGTATTGCCCAGTGGTAACTACAAACTGTGTATAACTTGAGTATTGCCAAGTAGTAACTACAAACTGTGTATAACTTGAATATTGCCCAGTAGTAACTATCAACTGTGTATAACTTGAGTATTGCCAAGTAGTAACTACAAACTGTGTATAACTTGAGTATTGCCCAAAGGTAACTACAAACTGTGTATAACTTAAGTATTGCCCAGTAGTAACTACAAACTGTGTATAACTTGAATATTGCCCATTAGTAACTACAAACTGTGTATAACTTGAGTATTGCCCAAAGGTAACTACAAACTGTGTATAACTTGAGTATTGCCCAGTAGTAACTACAAACTGTGTATAACTTGAGTATTGCCAAGTAGTAACTACAAACTGTGTATAACTTGAGTATTGCCCATTAGTAACTACAAACTGTGTATAACTTGAGTATTGCCCAAAGGTAACTAAAAACTGTGTATAACTTAAGTATTGCCCAGTAGTAACTACAAACTGTGTATAACTTAAGTATTCCCCAGTAGTAACTTCAAACTGTGTATAACTTAAGTTTTGCCAAAAGGTAACTACAAACTGTGTATAACTTGAATATTGCCCAGTAGTAACTACAAACTGTGTATAACTTGAGTATTGCCCAGTAGTAACTACAAACTGTGTATAACTTAAGTATTGCCCAGTAGTAACTACAAACTGTGTATAACTTGAATATTGCCCAGTAGTAACTACAAACTGTGTATAACTTGAATATTGCCCATTAGTAACTACAAACTGTGTATAACTTGAGTATTGCCCAAATGTAACTACAAACTGTGTATAACTTGAATATTGCCCAGTAGTAACTACAAACTGTGTATAACTTGAGTATTGCCCATTAGTAACTACAAACTGTGTATAACTTGAGTATTGCCCAGTAGTAACTACAAACTGTGTATAACTTGAGTATTGCCCAAAGGTAACTACAAACTGTGTATAACTTGAGTATTGCCCAGTAGTAACTACAAACTGTGTATAACTTGAATATTGCCCAGTAGTAACTACAAACTGTGTATAACTTGAGTATTGCCCAGTAGTAACTACAAACTGTGTATAACTTGAGTATTGCCCAGTAGTAACTACAAACTGTGTATAACTTGAGTATTGCCCAAAGGTAACTACAAACTGTGTATAACTTAAGTATTGCCCAGTAGTAACTACAAACTGTGTATAACTTAAGTATTGCCAAAAGGTAACTTCAAACTGTGTATAACTTGAGTATTGCCCAGTAGTAACTACAAACTGTGTATAACTTGAATATTGCCCATTAGTAACTACAAACTGTGTATAACTTGAGTATTGCCAAGTAGTAACTACAAACTGTGTATAACTTGAGTATTGCCCAAAGGTAACTACAAACTGTGTATAACTTAAGTATTGCCAAAAGGTAACTTCAAACTGTGTATAACTTGAGTATTGCCCAGTAGTAACTACAAACTGTGTATAACTTGAATATTGCCCATT